CAAACCCCGTGATTAGTACTCAAGCTCTGTGATTAGATGTTGGAGTGGCAGTGCGACAAGGTTACGTCGAGCGTCAAACAGCTCTTTGAAATGGAATATAACCACGGCAGACTATCCAAAACTGGACTTGAACGGGTTATTTCACATATTGTAGTTCTATAGAACTACAAAATGTGAAATATTATAGCTGATGATGTATATATAATGTAATATATCAGATATTAATGTGTATACACATTACTATCTGATTTGTAAAACATCACAGACAGAAACGTATATCCGTCATTTAATGGTAAGCTATTGAAATTCTGATTCCATAGATGTGTCTCCCATCACCCAAATCCCCTGACTATTCTCTCAACTCAGTATTTACATTCTTTAATTCAAAGAAAATCAGTAATATCTTGAAAAGTCCTTGTCTATAAGCTGTGCACCGTTATGGTGTAAATATAGCCTATCTACCAATTGGATCAAATATAAAAGTCAGCCGAATTAGTGTTGATACTGCAAGGAGACGTATTGTGTGAAAAGAAATGGAAGATGTTGTTTAATTGCTGACATATTTATGATCCACGTCAAGTATTCCGTTTCGGTGGCAGTTCTTCCAGTTTGTCCAAAGGTCTTCTGATAAGGGCTCTGTAAATAAAGAACTACGGCAGATATGTAATATTTAATGCAGCCGAACCGTGTATTACAATGCCGTTATGTGATGACTTCCAAAGAAAAAGCAAGCACACTCGGAATAAAGACTTATTTTATTTTCAAAAAATGTTTTCGGATTTCATATGGCATGAACACCATATCCCAATGTGCATTGCGGCTAAAACATCCAATCACCAAGCTTGAACGGTAGCTGAGGATTATGGGTAGGTAGATGTTTTAGCCTATCAAAACCTCTGAAAAAATAAATGTGTCTCAGAATCGAAAAGGAGGCGTGTGGCGCAGTGGATAGAGCGTTGGTGTTCGGATCAAGGGAGCACAGGTTCAAACTGCAGTCAGCATGTCGTTGTGTCCCTGGGCAAGACACTTCACCCCAAATTGCTCCCGTGGGGATGGCCCACAGTATTGAGTATGTAAGTTGCTTTGGATAAAAGCGTCGAACAAGTGACATGTAATGTAATGTAATGGAAAAACCTATGGGAAAAACACAAAAGCATTGTACACAATTTAAACCAATTAATGTAGTGTAATTAACAAGGATAAACTGATGTTTTTTATTGGATGAGTACTGCAGATATCACTGTGAAATCATTTGACAGTGAGGGGAATACAGTTTTATTATGAAAACTTAGAGATCGGAAATACTGTTTTCACCCCGTGAGGGTTGACGCTAACTTTACATGGACGCTGTCGCATATACACGTTCTCCTGGCGAGACCTCAAATAATCTTCGTAATATCTATCAAACTATAGATCCCACACATCCACTGGACGTAGATTTTGAAAGTACAATATACACTTCTCGCTAGAAATCTAATCAAAAAGCATTTTAATGGCCAAACTATCCTACATTTTAGGATTTTCCAGAGAGGGTTATTTGTGAATATACGACCCTAGCGTTTGCATTCAACGGGAGCACTAGAGGTCGAAAACTTTAAAACGTGATTATAGGTCGTAATAAGTGCTTGAACAATCGACCTATTTGGTCGTAATAAGGGCCTGAACAATCTACCAATTTGGTCGTTTGAGTTGGAGGACTTGTTGCTTTTGCACCACACATTTTGATTAGATCTGTCCTTTATACTTTCTGTTTCTACATTCATTTCCACTCCTTTCTCCTGCTCTTTCGGTTTCTTTCTTCTTCTTTGCTTTTCTTTTCTCGGTCTGGTACGCAGTGGGAAATTCTAATCTGGATCCTTGGTCACATTTGGTTTGTACATGACAATGCAGGAAGATGTTTTTCCCAATGACAGAAAACCAATGTATTTGTTATAGTGTTTAAAAGTTAGCTTCCACCTGATTGACCGCTCAACTGCATGTGCATGTATGCATATAACTGTGTGTGTATTTGTATATGTATGTGCATGTTCTAAAAAGTGTGTACTGTGTGTACTGTATGACCTGTATAAAAACGCATGTGTGTGTACGAATTTCCCCCTCTGGGGATTAATAAAGGTCCATCTTCTCTTCTTCTCTTCTCTATATACACATACAGATATACCTATATATACACATGTCTGGCCAAACCAGACTGACAATATATATCATACATTTTGTGTTTTATTTCGCTTGTCCGTGTCATTTCACACATTTGTAATGTGCAGGAAGACAAATTATGTTAATCTCCTGCTTTTTTGGCTGTTTTCATTTCCTGTGTGCTGGCTGGCTGCCGCTCTGAGGTTTTCTCAAAGGTTATCTGCAGGGTTGTGTCATTGTCAGGATAGAGACAAAAGTGATGTTGAAAATGTTATAAACAACAAACAGTGGAAAGTGAGACCATGTACTTTTCCTCTCCAGATGGCTCTTGAAACATTCATTTGCAACTTCGTTTCACAGTTTATTACAAATTCAAGTCTGCTTCCAATTCACAAAATAATCCATACACAAAGCATTCCCACAGCAGACTACAGGGAGATATTTCCAAAGCTCCAAAGGTAAAATAATACATTGATTCCAGCAGAGGAATTTGAACTTTAGGTGCCCTACATGAAGTTTGAGACTGAATCACATAAACAAAATATTCTTGAATTGATGGAAGGCAGGTTATGTCTGCAGATACAGCTATTGTGGTATCTACTCTATCTACATTATGTTATTCAACTGCATTTATAGCACCTTGCATTAATGTGTCACTGCTTTCAGTGCAGGAGGGATTCAAAACATTGATAAAAGGTAGAAATTGCTATTTTATGATGGCTTCTACATAGTAATAGCTAAATTATGTATAGCTATCTGCAGTGTTGGGTGTAACGCGTTACAAAAGTAACAGAGTTACAGTAATATATTACTTATTGCTGTAACGAAGTAATGTAACACATTACTAATGAAATGTGGGTAATATATTACCAGTTACAATGCTCAGTAACGCAGTTACAACACATTTTAACCCAAAATGAAATGGTGTTTTGTTTTTTAAGAATGTACTAACATAGCGAGACATTCCGACACCAGACAAATTGTGCGGGTAGATTGGTAAACCTGGTGTGTTTACCGTTCCGGCTTCGTGTCTGGGTCTTAGGGGCAGTTGAATGTTATGCACCCTCTATTCAAAAAAGAGAACGGAGTCAAACTATAGGTTACTTACGTAACCCCAGTTCTCAGAGTAACATGAAGTGAGATGTCTCACTGTGGGATGCGCCTGTTAGGAACCTTGACTCAATAGCTTGGATATGAGGGGCCGTGTAGGCCAAAATTCAAACTCACCTCACACACACACTACTGAAAACATCTGGCCTTGCACACACACTACTGAAATACTCTCTCATTCACTACTGAACACCTCACACACACACTACTGAAAATTAAGCCTCACACACACACTATTGAAATCCTCTCACATTCACTACTGAACACCTCACACACACACTACTGAAAACATCTGGCCTTGTACACATACTACTGAAATACTCTCACATTCACTACTGAACACCTCACACACACGCTACTGAAAATTAACGTCATACACACACTATTGAAATCCTCTCACATTCATTACTGAACACCTCGCACACACACTACTGAAAATTAACCTCACACACACACTCCTGAAAAACATTTTACTGAAAGGTTCTCAGTAGGGAATGTGCATGTGTTTCACCTATGTGTGTGTGAGGGGATTCTTGCTGTAACGGAAGTAATTCTAATGTAACGGAAGTCATCTGCTAGTGGTCTCTTTGCTAACCCCGTTAGCTTCATTAGCTCCAGGCTGCTACTCGGACGTGTTTGTTGTGTTGATGCCTGGTGGAGTATTCTTCATTGAAATATCGCACTTATCTTATGGCTCTGGGGTTCAAACAGACCGTCCATGAATGCAGTTTATTCGGTAAGTGAAATGCAAGCACTTTATTTCTTACTTGTCTTTTTATTCAGCTAACAAGCGAGACGAAGCTACATCTGTGCTAACGATGCTATCCGTAGCATACAAGTTCAAACATAATAGAGCAGTGTAAAACATTAAGAAGGATTATACTGTAAAACATAAGGCTTCTCGGTGAGGTTGGTAAAATAAGGTCATGCTTGTACATTAGTTAGTTTGCTAGTTAGGTAACTGTATGCATTGTTATTGTTAATTTAAAATAGCTATGCTCGACGATGCAGACAGCTAGCGTCATATTAGTGTTGAAGAGCAGAGTACGGTATGAGATTAACCTCACTATAAGATCTGTGTATCTGAAAAATATGAATCTCACATTTCCAGTTGGTTCCAGAAATAACGTTGACGTAGATATTGCAATATGGTTTGTTGAGCTGGAGTTGATTATTGAAGCTTACTGGTTAACGTTCATCATATTAAACGAACGAACCCAAACGTTGTTGTTTTTATTAATATTATTACCAATACTTACTTAGCATTTTATTATCATTACACTGGAGAAACCGACTTATTGTGTCAGCAGAACGTGAACATGTAACTTAATGCCTGCATTTGAGGACGAAAAATAGCTCAGTCAATGCTTTAGGGACAAGGAAATGATTTGTTTAAATATTAGATATGATGTTATGTGTGCTTCTGTGACAATGAAGCTTATTCATTGCATTACATTTGTTGAAGATGTTTGTCTTTTACCCTTACGTGTGTGTGTTACAAATGAATGTGAATATGGCATAGGACAAATATTTAAATTGACTGTCTCATGAAAAACGATTCTAAAATAAAAAGGACCCCAACTATACAATAATACACAATCCAACTGATAAGATACAGTAAGGGCTGTGATATCCAGCACTTTTTTTAAGGATAACAAAGATTATCACATGACATTTGCATGTAAAAAAAAGTCTGTGACCAACACATTGTTACTTTACATATATATATTTAAAGTTTCCAGGTGATGCAGACAGACCAGAGGATGCTGACCACGAGAGACAGACCTATTCCTAACATCAGTGAACTTCAGCATGGACTCAAAGGTACAAAGACTCCTTTCATACTGTACAAAGAATCGAGAAACGTTCTGGTTTAAATAGATAGTAACAACTATAATCAGCTTTCACATTTCAATGTATTTAAGGCAATTATTATTTTACATTGTGAGAATTGCTACCATTTGTCTCTACAAGACGTGGTAAAAGTGGTTCTTGCAGTGAGACAACCGAGCAGTTGAATATTATTTAATAAGATATTTTAATGTTGATTAACTGCAGACTGTTCATTCATAATCTGATTATCTTTGTAGTACAAAGTGATGAATTAAAAAAACACATTAAAATTTAAAAAATACATTATTTCTACAGCCGCTAAATAAACAAACCTCTTTCATAAATAACACTTGCTCTGCAATAATGTCATGTTTGTCATTTCTGTGAGGAAAGGACATACCTGAAGGTCACAACTGCCTCACCGTTTTCTCAGAGGGGCAAGAAGAAAATGAAAAGCTGATTTCAGATTAAAGACTAATACAGGACATTCACTAAGAAACTACACTTTTATTGTGAACACAAAGTCAAACAGGACCATCATTTGTTTGTGACAGCTGAGCCTAGTATGTGCTCACAGATGCAGTTAGGGGGTTTCTTCATCAGGCCTGGTCCTCCTCCATCAGGCCTGGTCCTCCTCCATCAGGCCTGGTCCTCCTCCATCAGGCCACGTCTTCCTCCCAGAGAAAGACCTCTCCACCTCAGTCCTCTCCAGCCAAACCCACAGACAGGACATCCGTCATGCTGAGGTTTCTCCCAAAGTCTCTGCACGCTGTCTCAATTGATCCACACTGTGAATATGAGGGGGAAATGTGTGTCATAAATGCTTTAGACAATAAGAAATATGAAGTTAACTGTAAGGAATGGCTCATTCTTTTTTAAATAGACACAACTATTACTGTATTTCAATATCTCACGTCTGAAAGTTTAATTTAAAAGAAGAGGCCCCAAAAATAAAGATTGGTATATCAATAAATGTAGTTGATTTTGTCTTTAATTGTTTAAAGTAGATAGAACTCGTACTTAAGAGTTTGAATACAGTCTGTGACGGCCCCTAGGCCTTAGACTCAGGTCCCTGGTTAGCCACTCCCCAAATCAGGAGAGATTGCTGACACCTGATTTGGGTTGACTGCTCAGCTACAAGTATGGGTGCCTGAGCAGTCAGTCTTTCTCTCCTCTTGGGTTGCTTGGCTCTACTGGACCTTGGTTTGTTTGTTCTTTATATACTGATGCTTGTTCACACACCCACACACTACAGATTAACTGACTTAATCTGATTATCTGTGTAGTACAAAGTGATGAATTAAAAAAACACATTAAAATTAAAAAATATATATTATTTCTACAGCCACTAAATAAACAAACCTCTTTCATAAATAACACACATCTAAGAGACGGGTCACGTTTTGTTCAGCCGGATAATATCCACATGTATTATCTACCCTACTTTTATAATTTCAAATCATAAATCTAGTTGCCAGAAGCAAAATGCTAACGTTATGCTATAAAGGAACTACAGCAGGGTCGCTGCTTCAACGTCACGCCGACTTAAGATCCATATTCAAACATACAGATTATAAATGGTACGAGTTGAAGCGTTTGAACAGTTTGCAGGAACTTGCTTTAAAGCAGAACTTGAAAATGTACATAAATAGCTGATGTTAGTAATGCTAACTAGCGAGCTAGCTGTGTAGATCTGCTGCACTATTTACTACAGCCCGGCTGTCCGCAGCCGACTTTATAACAGTATTAAGTGAAAACCAGTCAAAATATTTTACAGAATAAATCCCTTATCCAAATCCCATAAAAACACAAGACAACCAGCAATTAGACAATACCCTGCGTCGTATTTTTGTCGGATGAATGCAAGCTGATATTGTCACTTTTTTAAAAACCTAAATAAGGGTTGTTCCCTCTTGTTTTCTCTTTGTTAGGATAATACTACAGAAAATGGGCTCCGCGGAAGGTGACTCCCTTGCAAACCAAAAAAGAGAAATACAAGTATTTTTATTATTATTTCTATTCCCGGTCTGCACGTTTTACATTGCTTAAGGTAAACTGAAACTATTCAGCAAAACTTTCAATAATAATCTAAGGTATTGAGTTTTGGGATATTACTTTCATACAAATCTATAAATGCCTTAAGGTTTCTAAAACATACAATATGTGTTAAATTCAACAGTGGACCCAGCAAAGATTCACATTTTTGCATGATTTTTGTTATTGATTTGTTGCTGTTAATTATACTTTTAATAAATTCAAGTCAAGCTTAGTTACATGTGATGGTAGCTATATGCTCTTACCTGTGTGCCTCCTCCGCAACCAGACTGTCACGCCCTGGCTCAAGGACGGACAAAGGAAGGAGACCACACATGATTCATCCAATTGAAGTGCATTTATTTAAAGAAACTAAATTAACTATGAAGTCAGTTAATCAGTAATGTGTGTGGATGTGTGAACACGCATCAGTATATAAAGAAAGAACAAACAAACCAAGGTCCAGTAGAGCCAAGCAACCCAAGAGGAGAGAAAGACTGACTGCTCAGGCACCCATACTTGTAGCTGAGCAGTCAACCCAAATCAGGTGTCAGCAATCTCTCCTGATTTGGGGAGTGGCTAACCAGGGTCCTGAGTCTAAGGCCTAGGGGCCGTCACACCTCCCCCCTTAAGAATGAGGTAGCACCTTAGATCCTGAAACAAAACAAGAACATTAGACACAACATTTTCTTCCAATTCATAAAACCGAGTAACACGTTTCAGAGCACAACAAAAACTGCATTAAAAGCCTATCAAAAGTGATACTAGGCAAAGAAGGAACTATGACAAAAAGTACATGAGGTGACTACCGAAATTTGCACAAAACCCGCAATCATTACAGCCTAACCCCAGGAAAAACAACTACTGCTGCTTAGTGGACGAAACAGGGAATGCCTGTACGGCCAAAACTTCAAGAAGAATGGGACAAAGCGCCCCTTGCCTGCCCCATCTTACCCAAAGAGGTTACTGTAGCTCTCTTTCACATACTTCTCTGTGTGTTACAAATGTTGCACTCTGACCTTCTAGCCCAATTGACATTGCCACATGTTTTGCACTTCCAATCATTTACACTGAAGAGACCCCTGCCCTTCCCAGCCAGAGTTTTCCAACTATCTGTTCCTCCAGCTTTCATCATCTGTGCCCTCATGGTTTTCTTCCTGCCACATCTGTAACAACTGCTTCTTCTAGAAAAGTTCATCATTCCACACTTATCTGGACAAAACCAGTCCTCCTCTCTTTCCTGCAATGTTTATTTTGTTACCCCTGAATGGCTTTGCATGATCTGGCCAAACACGACCACCTGCCAGGTCATTTCCCAAAATGATGTCCACTCCAGTCACGGGCAACTCTGGACGAACACCAACCTCCACTTCTCTCTGGACCAAATCACAGGACAGAAACAGTTTATGCTCAGGCACAGAAATGGTTTGCAGATCAATCCCTCTAACTGGAACACAGCGCCCCATGTCTGAATCTGGAGAAAAAGGCAAGATGGCCTCCCTCACTAAAGTATTCAAAGCGCCTGAGTCCCTCAAAATTCTGACTTGAACTTTCTTGTCACTCCCAACTAGGGTTACAAAACCGTCAGACATAAACGAAGCATAACCCGACTCAACCTCTGAGATATCAATTGCCTTACCCTGCATTTGCAATGGAGCCAAGACTTCTGTTTCACCAACTTTGGGATTATGAATAGTTGTAGCCAAACCAACTGACTTCACATGAAAATTGTTGCTTTTCCCCTCTAGCAAAGGACATTATTTTTTCCAATGACCCTGTTGATGGCAATAATGACACACATTTGCATTGCTTGTGCCATTAGGATGCTGTGCAAACTTTGGGGACAAAGATCCTGCTTTCTGAGATTCATTCCTTTCATAACGCTCACCAAAGATGCGCCTGTGCGTCAACACATACTCATCAGCCAGTACTGCTGCCTCCCTAGGACATGTGACTTTATGTTCATTAATATAGGTTGCAATGTTCTCAGGGACAGACTGTTTCAACTGCTCCAGAATGATTAAATCACATAACTGATCCAATGTTTTTACCCCAGAAGAAGAGTACCAGCGCTTGAAATGCAAGATCAAATCCCGTGCAAATTCTACATGTGTTTTGTTACCACTCTTTCGCCAGTCTCTAAAACGTTAGCGGTACGCTTCAGGCACCAACTCATAAGCCTTCAAAACAGACGATTTCACCGTATCATAATCTGTACAGGCGTCAGAAGATAAAGCGGAGTAGGCTTCTTGTGCTTTACCTGTAAACACACACTGCAACATTAAAGTTCTGTCCTCATCAGGCCAGCCCCTTGAATCAGCAACACGCTCAAACAGACAAAAAAAAGTGTCTATATCATATTCATTAAACTTTGGCAACAGTAAATTACTTGCAACATCAAAGCGTGAACTTACAAGTTCCTCATTCATTGCCGATGCAGACATTTTACCTGCCCTAATCAAAGCCAATTTTTGCAGTTCCAAATCCAGTTTCATTTGTTCTAACCTCAAAATCAACAATTTTTCCTGTTCAAATGTCAAGCCAGACACATAATTAGTGACAATGCTCTTACCTCCCCTGTCCATCAGTACTGCACAGTCTAGCAAATGAGCCTTTATAACACTTTTCAGGGTTTCCTTTGTTTGCTTGGAATCAAAATCAACAGAGTAATAATGAGCAATCTTCACCAACTGCTCCTTTGTACATTGCTCCAACAACTCATCCGAGGGACACTGAACAAAATCTTCCATAATGTTAGCCATATCAAACCACAAAAATCTAGCAACCTAGATAACCAAATTGAGGTAACATACACCAAACCTTTACACTATGCAACTAGTGGCAACAACAACTGGTGACTCCCCATGCTCAACTAACTAATTAGAGTATGTCCCTTATCTGACTAAACTCGTACCTAGTCTTCGTACAGATACTTGTAGCGGGTATTTATTCACTGAAACCCAGTGGTACTGGAAGGCAACTATACACAGCGACCCCACAAGAAACCATGGACGTGATCCAGAGACAACTGCTCTAGCCACTTTCTCTGTCACACTAAACCCAACCCCCGACAACAGACTCCCTATTAGAACCTGCTGCTTGGCCTCAGAGGAGAACACCAGTCACACCAAACATTTAGCATATTTACCTCAAAGAAACCTGGCCCAAACTAGATTATAATAAAGCTCTCCAAAACAACTACATCCATGTGTGATACTCCAACCTAAATTAGCAGACAATTCATACCAACAAAATGTATGTCAAAATTTGACGAGCCCCAATGTCACGCTCTGGCTCAAGGACGGACAAAGGAAGGAGACCACACATGATTCATCCAATTGAAGTGCATTTATTTAAAGAAACTAAATTAACTATGAAGTCAGTTAATCAGTAATGTGTGAACAAGCATCAGTATATAAAGAACAAACAAACCAAGGTCCAGTAGAGCCAAGCAACCCAAGAGGAGAGAAAGACTGACTGCTCAGGCACCCATACTTGTAGCTGAGCAGTCAACCCAAATCAGGTGTCAGCAATCTCTCCTGATTTGGGTTGACTGCTCAGGCACCCATACTTGTAGCTGAGCAGTCAACCCAAATCAGGTGTCAGCAATCTCTCCTGATTTGGGGAGTGGCTAACCAGGGACCTGAGTCTAAGGCCTAGGGGCCGTCACAGACTGTATTCAAACTCTTAAGTACGAGTTATATCTACTTTAAACAATTAAAGACAAAATCAACTACATTTATTGATATACCAA